GCAGATCATTATTCAGAAAAAGGAAACAGAAGACATTGGATTTGCTGTGAGAGGAGAGGGTCACAGAATGAACCTTTCCCCGTCCCCGATAAAGCCTCTTCCAGCCAGCCGCTCTCCTGACCTTCTCTCTCCAACTCTGCAAGCTGTACTTTGGTTGTCTCTGGGGGGACCATGTGGCTCCCTGAAGTCCTAACGCCATCCTGGGATGTCTCTCCAACCTTGGCAGCACTGGGTCCCTGTTTTCCATCTGCACTCTGCATGTTCATGCTCGTTCTAAAATTTATTTACTACGTGCCTTTAAACTAGCCTCACTTTTGACCATCCATATTACATATGGATATGTATGTTGTGTCTATATGTGATATAGATTATATATAGTCCCATGCCAACAATAACAATGAAGCCATAGGTTTATTTTGTTGTTATTGTTGTTGTTAGAGATTTTTTTGCTATAGGGTACATGTGCTCGCCAGAGAGACAGAGAGAAAATAAGAAATCATCCCCCAGGGGGAGGGCTATATCACAATCCCTTCTCCTCCATTCTCCTCTTGGGATTTTGGGCATGCCCATACATGTGCCCAGTGTGATTTTCAAGTTGCTGGGTCTAGGACTCAAACTGAAGTTGGCCATGTGGGAGTCCAGTTCCAAAAAAAAAACCATCTTGTGGCCTTTTTTTTTTTTTTTTTTTGTAAGAATTACTTATTTAATTTTATTTATTATTATTATTTTATAATTTGCTATAGGGCACATCTGCTCACCAGAGACAGACAGACTGGGTGGGAGAAAGGGAGAAAGTGAGAAAGCAAGCCACCAGGTCCAGGACTCAAACCAAGGTCGGCCATATGGGCGACCAACGCCTTAACCACCATCCCACCTACTGCTTCCTACAACCACAGTTTCAATGTAGTCTATGTTCTATAATTTTTATGAATGCACATTAAGATAAACACATCATTTTAAAAGAGGATAAAACATTCCTCAGCTGACTAGGTCATTGCACGGAGCCTTGACGGGCAACTGCTGAGTGGCAGGGGGGGCCTCCATCCTCATTTCAGGGAAGAGGGGGTTCAGCCCAGCGGGGGAAGGAGCCTTACTTCCAGCAGGCCAGCAGCAGGAGAGCAAGGTGGAACCAGGGCCCCTTGTTCTTCACAGTCTGGGGTATTTGCAAATGGGCCCAGCTGGCATCAGGCCACATGAAGGCTCTTCCTGCAGTGTGCCCTGGCTTCCAAAAACATCGGCTTGCATCAAGTTTATTTTCCTTTTCCTCCTGGGGTTGCTATCCTTATTTCTGCTTCACACACCCAGCGGTTGGTTTTCAAGGTCATAGAGGTTCTTTTGGAGAGGTTTTTGCTATAGGGTGCGTGCGCTCGCCTGACAGACAGAGACAGAGAGATAGAAAGTGAGAAATCACCCCCCCCAGGGGGGATGACCACACCACAATCCCTTCTCCTCCATTCTTCTCTCGGGATCTTGGGTACGCACGCACACGCACCCGGCATGAGTTTAAGCCACCGGGTCCAAGACTCGAACCACGGTTGACTACATGGGAGGCCAGCGACATAGCCATTACGCTAACTGCTGGTCCCAGACATAGAGGTTCTTGAGGAGAAACACACACACGTATTTCCTGGCCACCACTGATCATCAGAATGATTACAGCTCATGAATTTAGTGACTAGAGGTGATCAGATTTAGTGTTAGAGAAACAGAATATTTTCTTCAAAAATTAAAATAGCTCTAGCTCTGACAGACATTCGACAAGCATTTATTGAACACCTTCTAGGTGCTGCCAGGCACTAAGCTGGCCAGAAACTGGGCTGCAGGGGTGGGTGAGGCGGCCCCGGACTTGGCTCCCATTTCAGCAGGCCCTCCCTGGCCACCCCGTTGGAAACAGGAGACCTCTCCCCAGGCATTTTCTCTCCGCTCCTGTACTTTGTCCCCATGGTACTCATCGCCGTCTAATGGAGTCTATATTTTACTTTTTAATTTTCTTTATGGCCTTCTTCTCTGACTGCAGTACAACTCCACTGTTCTGTGGAATGCATGTCCCCATTATGTACAATAATCTCTGATCCAGAGTAGGTGCTTAGTAAGTATCTGCTGATCAAATGAATGGACAGGAACAAATAAAAATCATACATATAACATACATACACATATATAATTACATAAACATTGGGTTGTTGGCAGGGGAGGCGGGCCGCAGGTGGCATGGTGGTTAAGAGCCCTGGACTTCTAGGAAGGCTGGCCATGGTTAGAGTTCCAGACCTGGTGGCTTGCTTTCTCACTTTCTCTCTCTCTTTTCTCTGTCTCTCTCTCTCTCTTTGGTCAAATTAAAATAAGTAAATAAAGTTAAATAAAATTTTTAAAAAACACTGAGTTGTTGGAAAAGTCATGATGCATTTTCAGATAGAAAGACATAGGAAACTATGTCATAACTTCTCCAATGACCCAAGAATGCATTGGAAACATGGTAAGTGTGGGGTGCTGGGGGGTGACATGCAGTGGGCAGTTAGGAAGGACTTGCCCGAGGAAGTGCTATTCACACTGAGTACTAAAGGGGTTGGACAATGTGGGGCTCTAATGTCCTAGGTGCTGACTAGATTTTCCAAAACTTCTTTGATCATCAGAATTGCTGAAGTTTCTCAATGACATATTAGGTTGTTGCGAAAGCCATGACATGTTTTTCTAGACATGTTTTTCTATGCAAAAATACGTCATGATGTTTCTTTTTCTTTTTTGAGAGAGGATTTGCTATAGGGTGTATATGCTCACTGAATAGATAGAGAGACAGGAAACGAGAAATCACCCTCCCCCCTCCAGGGGTGATGACCATGCCACAATCCCTTCTCCTTCATTCTCCTCTTGGGATCTTAGGCATGCACACACATGAGACTGGTGTGCGTTTAAGCTGCCGGGTCTGGGACTTGAACCACAGTCAACTATGTGGGAGTCTGGCAACATAACCATTATGCCACCTGCTGGTCCCACATCATGACTTTTCTGATGACCCAATACATGCCCAGGTGCCATCTCAAACGCACTAAAATGGAATCTTTTTCATTTTTTTTTTAAGGATTATTTTATATAAATATTTATTTATTTATTTAAATTTGACGAGAGAGGGACAGAGTGAGAGAGAGGGAAAGTGAGAAAGCAAGCCACCAGGTCCAGGACTTGAACTGCGATCAGCCATGTGGGACTCCAGTGCTCTTAATCACCACGCCACCTGCTGGTCCCTAAAATGGTATCTTTATGAGTGGGGCCTGGACTCTGCATTTGCACAAGTTCCAAGGGATTATGATGCCCAGCCAGGTGCACAAGCTCTGGCTGATCCTCAAAGCTCTTGACTGACTACTTTGAGGATCAGGGAAAAGAAGCCAAGGTCAGAGGACGGAATAGGACATTCGTCCTGGATCAGGGAAGAATGAGTGGAACTAACAAGACTACACAGACCAGTGACTCTGAGAAGACATATTCTGACACTGCTTCTTCCACTGAGCCTTTGCCCGCAGGGTCAGAGTTGGAAAGGCCAACAGTCAGGAGCTAATCTTCTTCTTCCTGGGGATTCTGCCTGCAATTCAGGATGCAATTCAGGTGCCTGGTGGGACCCTGGGCCTCCAGGCCCTGCGAGGCACAGCAAACTGTGAGAAAAATGAGTAGACTTTCCACTCCGCGTCCATTTCCCTCGCCGTAGCGAGGAGCATCTGAATCGCACTCACCAGTGCTCCATGGACGTGTCCACCCAAGTTCCCTATCAGAGGGTGGTTGGAAGCCACAGACCATAGACAGGGCATTTCTTGCAAGCCTCATGTTCTGTTTGTTTGGAAATCAAATGCAGATTCTTTTTTTTTTTTTTTTTGCTATCAGGTGTGTGGGCTTGAGAGACAGAGAGAGAGAGAAAGATGGAAAGTGAGAAATCCCCTCCCAAGGGAATGGCCATGCCACAATTCCTTCTCCTCTGGGATTTTGGGCATGCACACACACACACCAGGTGTAATTTCAAGCTGCCAGGCCTTGCACTCAAACTGCAGCCAGTCATGTGGAACCCAGCAACCTAACCTCCATGTTATCTGCTGGTCCTTTTTTTAAAAACAAACAAACAAACAAACAAGCAAGCAACAACAACAACAAAACAGAAAAATCAATGCCTCCTTCTCCATTCAAATACCTTTGAGTACGTTATTTCTCACATTGGAATTATCCTGGGGACCTTCAAATGCTACTGCTGCCTGGGATCCATCTGCAAAAGCTGATTTAACTGGTCTGGTTTGTGCTCTGGGAATCAAGATTTCCCAAAGCCCCCCAGGAGCTTCTAGAATACAGAGGCAGTCGAGAATCTCTGGGGTGGGCAGGTACCTTGTTCCATTTCTTGTTTCACGTGTTCCCAGCACACCACCAGGTACCCAAGCACAAACTAGCACTGCTGTTCAGAGAACCAGTGCCTTACCGAAGACAACTAACAGGTGAGCCAGTTTCTGCAGCTCTTTTCTTTCTGTGAGCCGTCCCCACGCAGAAAATCGAAGGCCAGCAAAGACCCAGTGTCTCTTTCTGAGCCGCACCACTACAGAGATCTGCGATCTTGAGCGGTAAAATACACATTTTCACTAACTTCGATCTGCAATGGGGCTCTGACTTCGACTCTGAAGGCGGGCCGAAGCCGCGGTCCTGTTAGCGGTAGAAACCCGAGGTATTTTCATACCCTGGTACAGCCACCTCAGATATCACTAATACATGTTGTTGCTTTGACATCCTGGTAGGTAGGTATGAGACCTGCTGCCAGGCCTTGCTATTGAATGGACTGATACGTTAGTGCAGCTCTTACCAACTCAGGAATACGCCTTTTACAAAATGTTTGGGTAACTATTTTTCAATCTATGTGATATTTTTCAACTTATGCACTTAAAATTATCCTGAGAAGTCCACAGGCTCCCAAGCGCCCAGCGCAGGTCTGAGCTGTGGCGGCAGGGAACACTGTGCACGGAAAAAGCAACGCTTACCTGTGGGTCGGAGAGCCGGGAGAGGTCGGGGTACAGGTAGAACTTGATGCCTTCTGCAGCCCCGGGCAGCGTGACCCCTCGGATCAGGAGGATCAGAAGCATGATGTAGGGGAAGGTGGCAGTGACGTATACAACCTGCCCGGGAGAGGAGAGAAGGGATCAGGAGGGGTTCTGCTCCCTGCTGTCTGATCCGAGCAGCCGGCTTATTTCATTTAGCATTGCGTCCTCAAGGCTCATTCACGTTGTCACATATTACTGAGTGTCCTTTTTTCCTTTTTAGAGAGTTTTTTTAAATTTTTAAATTTTTAATCTTAGGGCTCATGTGCTTGCTGGAGAGACAGAAAGTGAGAAATCACTGCCCAGATGCATGGCCATGCCACAGTCCCTTCTCCTCCATTCTCTTCTTGGGATTTTGGGCACGCACGCATTCGCACCTGGCGTGAGTCTCCAGCAGCCTGGTCTTGGACTCTAATCATGGTAGACTATGTGGGAGTCCAGCGACGTACCCATTATGCCATCTGCTGGCCCCAGAGTGTCCTTCTTTTAAAGACTGATTCCATTTTTAATGTATACACACGTGGAGTACAATGTATTCGAAATGCTTGGGACCACGAGAGTTTTAGAATTCTGATGCTTTTGGATTTTGAAATATTGGCTTATAGCTAAGGAGATATCTTTGGGATGGAACCCAAATCTAAACAGGAAACTCACTGCCTTGTTTAGGCATCGTGGGAAACCTGCCATTAGTTCACGTGGCCTGCACACAGCCCATTTTGCTTTGTGGGAATGCTCACATAGGGGAATCTGAATGTGTAAAGAAAAGATACCGTGGTTGAAGGGAGCGGAGAGGGTCCCTTTCCCCTTAGGGATGCTCAATAAACTGTGCTTTGTGCAACCCGTGAATGCAACCCATCACATGAGGTCAAGTGTGCTGTTTTCCATTTGCGGCATCAAGAAGTTTCATATCCTAGATTTTCAGAGTAAGAATGTTTAACCTGTACAATGGTTTTAGTTTTCTTTTGCTTTTTAATTTTTTAGTTAATTTACTTATTTATTTGCCACAGGCCATGTGTGCTCACCAGAGAGAGACACAGAATGACAAAGAAAGAGGAGAGAAAGTAAGACATCATCCCCCCCCTTCCCAGGGGAGTCGGACATGCCACAATCCCTTCTTCTCCATTCTCTTCTTGGGATTTTGGGCACACAGGCTTCAAGCTCCTGGGTCTGGGACTCGAACCATGCAGTTGACCATGCGGGATCTAGCACCTTGACCACCACACCACCTGTTGGACCCTTTTTTTTTAAATCCATTCATGCATGTGGAAATCTGCCACAGAAAAGCAAACACTGCATGATTCACTTACGTGAGGTACCCTAGAAGAGCTAAACTATAGCATCAAAGAGTAGAAGGGTGGAACTAGCAGTTAGCGTAATGGCTATGTCGCTGGACTCCCACGTGGTCGACCGCGGTTTGCGTCCCGGACCCAGTGGCTTAAAACTCATGCCAGGTGTGTGTGTGTGCATGTCCAAGATCCTGAGAGGAGAATGGAGGAGAAGGGATTGCGGGATGGCCATCCCCCCTGGAGGGTGATTTCTTGCTTTCTGTCTCTCTGTCTCTCTCTGTCTGGTGAGCGCACGTGCCCTATAGCGAAAACCTCTCCAATAAATAAATAAATAAATAAATAAATAAATAAATGAATAAAAAGAGTAGAAGGGTACTTGCGGGATGGGGGTAGGGGAGGTGAAGTAGGGAGTCGCTCCTAGACTTTTAGCTAAGCAACAAGAGTAAGTTCTAGAGCTCTGAAGTATAAGATGGTATCTAGAGTCCATCATGAGGTACTGGATATGGAAAACTTAGGAAGGAAAATCTCATGTTAAGTGCTCCTAACACAATAAAATGAAGTTTAAAAAGAAAATGAAGAGTGACAGGGTGGGCCACGTGGGGAGCCAAGAGAAGCGGGGCTTCCCAGTGCAGCAATGGAAGCAGACCCCCACCACGGCTGTGCCCTGCCTAGCCTCTCATCGCTGACCCC